TTGCAAACAAGGGACGAAGTGCGCACGCGCGCGCGCGTCGTCGCGCGCGCGTGCCGAATTTCTCCCAAAGCCTGGGGTTTCGTACGGACTTCAAATTCGAGAGCCCGAACACGCAATTCATGGTTTTGCAGCATCAGTTTTCAAACCAAGCCTGCGCTCGCTCTCTTGCGAATTCTTCAACGAAGCGTCGTGTTTTCTGTTCTTTCAAACTTTCATCATATTGGACCAAGCGGGCCTTTCGCGCCGCATGCCGAAATCATTCGAACGCCTTTGCGAGCGTCCTGGGCGGCACGACCCCTGTCAACTAACACCATGCGGGCCATTCGCGCGCGTCGGCCGCACGCGCATGTCGAAGCTTCATCACCGACGCGAGGACACCGTCATCGTCATCAGCGTGATCAGCATCGGTGCCGTCATTGGCATTGCCGTCGTCATCGCCACCATCGTGGCCATCATCGGTGGTATCATCGTGTTTACCTTTTGCCGACGTCGCCATGCTACCGCGACCCCCCCCCGCCACCGACTCGCATTGAAATGCCCGTTGGGAAGTGCCCAGCGGCCACCGCCACCGCGGCCGCGCCGGTCGCGCCAGACTAGCTGGCCGCTGTGCGCGCGAGCATGCGCGGGCTAGCGCGGCCGCAGGGACGCACCATCTAACACCACGCATTCATCGCAATTGCCGCCGCATGGGTTTTGCAAACCAAGTTGCATGTGGGTGGCTGTGCAGGTTGTGTGGGCAGTGGGGTTGACAACTCCAATCTTCTCAAACTTCAGTGCACCACATAGGTGCCACCTCATGTATTGCACCGCGTAGGTTGCTCCATACATGTTGCACAACACAGCTTGCGCAGCATCCATTGCACAACGTAGCTTGCACGACAGATTGCACCATGTAGTTTGCACCACGTAGATTGCCCCTATATGGGTGTCAACAAGGGCTGGACAAATATTGTCTGGGACCCACGCGGGCTAACATTTTTTTTTTTTATATAAAAAACAATATATATATATATATATACATATATATATATATATATATATCGTCCTTTTCGCGCACCCAGGAGTGTCGGTCGGTTCGACCCCCCCGAAACCCCGCCGCTTATGATCATGAAATTTGAAATTTGCAAGCATTTAACGGACGGCGGTTCGTTGGTTCTCAAAATTTGGTTCTCGTCCTAGCGCCGCGGAGTTTTTCTTAAAATCCGCAGAAGCTTCACGGAGGGAAGCGGCTCCTTTTCGCAATGAGGTTTTTGCCGTAGCGCCACCCGCATGCTGGTTAGACGGTTGCAACCGTTTCACGGGTTGAACGGGGGTGGTAAACATGTGGCGCTCGCTTTAGCGCAGCACGAATTCAGTTTGACAGATTGCTGCAATTTCACGGGTGGAGGTGTGTGTGTGTCGGTTTGAAATTGTGGCCTTGTCCTCTGCACCGCGTGCATGCGTTTGTTTTGTTGTTTTTTCTTATTTTTTTGCAGGGTTTAGCAGGCTTGGTGATTGATTTTTTAAAGTGGAATGCTCGCCTGAGGCTTCGCTGAGTTTAAAGACTCCCGGTGTTTCAACGTGCGTAGCGCTGCGCGGATTCATGCCAGTTTTTTAAATGGAGCTGCCGCGTGAGATTTGCTCGGGGCCAGTGACCACACGGGGAGCTTTGTGCAACAGGTACACGGGAGGGGGGGCGGTCTTTTCTCGAACGGCTGATATCGCTGGACACCTCGTTGAACTGTATGGTCATCGTTTTCTTCGCGCTCCTGGCTACGCGGCGGAAGCCTACAAGGCAGTTCCCTTTTCAAAATGTGGCTCTCGCCGAAATGCTTGTGTTTAAAGGGGGGCGTTTCTTCCAGGGGAAACAAGGGGGAATTATAGGGGCGTGTGAGGAGGTGATTTGGGACGGGGGTGTGTATGTCAGTATCACCTCTGCATCCTTGGTTTACTCTGGTCTTTCTCCGCTTCTTCCTCCTCGATGTCCTTTTCCTCTCCTCCTTCTCCTCCTTTTCCTCCTCCTCTTCCCCCTCCTCTTCCTCCTCCTCCTCCTCCTCCTCCCCTTCCTCGATACCCCCTGCTCTCCTCTTGCCCCCTCCTTCCTCCACGCCCCTCCTGTCCACCCTCCTGTTGCCGTGGCTGTCAGGACCCCCCCAGGAATGTTCTGTCTAACCTCCTCCCAGTCTTCCATTGCTTTTTCTTATGAATAATTATTGCCTGTCGCATCCCGAGGCGAGTCGGTAGGGCGGGCCGGGCGTTTAGCCTGAGACTTGTTCAGCACGCATCATTTATGATACTTAAGTTGAGAATTTGCAAGAGTTTTACGGATGGAGGGCGGCTCGTTATAAAGTTGTGGGTCTCGGCTTCGCGCCGCTGCAGGAGCTTCGCGTATCGAGGGCGGGTCGTTTTCAACACGTTGTTTTCGCCTTAGCAACCACATGCAAGAGTTGCACAGCTGGAGGGCGGGCCGTTTTCAAAATATGGTTCTCGCCTTAGCGCCGCGCACATTCGAATTCAACTTTTAAGGGATTTCACAGATTGAGGGCGGTTCCCTTTGAAAATGTGGATCTCGCTTGAGCGTCGCGCGCATTCATTCGTTTTAGAGTCTGAAGGTTCCACGGCTGGATGGCAGTTCCCTTTCAGAATGTGGTTCTCGCCGTAGTTCCGCGCACATTTGTTTTAAAGAGTTTCCAACAGTTTCACGAATTCTCATGGTTATGTCCCAGCATCGTTTTGTTGGCACGGTGTCGGATTGTCAGGGCGCAACAGTTACGTTGATTCGCGGCGTCGAAGTCCCAGGGATGGTGCTCTGGCATGCATGATTCAGGACCGTCAAGACGAAAGAGTAACGGTGAGATTCGTCGTCGAAGTCCCAGGGATGGTGTCCTGGCACAATTCAGGATTTTCGAACGGTTGTCTTCCAACGCGGTACTTTTTCAGTGGGAATGAACCTTTGTAGGGGCCTCTGAAGAGGGAGCTTGGAGGGAGGGTTCATTCCTGTCTCGTTGATGGTTCTTGGGCTGACACTGATCCTCATCCTCCTCCGACTCTTTATCCTCATCCTTGTCGTGCTCATCCCCGTTTCCCGCTTCCCCAGGCCTTGGAAGGGGGGGGGGAGGGCGAACGGGTGGGGGCCTTTGCCAGCGCCCCTCCGCCCCCGGGAGTCTTCAGGAGACAGCGGCGGCAGCGTGCTCATTGCATGCCGCTGCGCGCTGCCCCTCCCTCCTCCTTCCTGTCTCCTCCCTGCTGTTTCATCCTTTTCCTCCCCTTCACAGCTACATAACATGAATACTCCTCTCTTCTCTCCCCTGACTATGACCTGGAAGTGTCCCGCCCTCTCCGTGCATTGTATATATATACACATGGTTTTAACCTTTGGTCTTCATATGTGTTTTCATTCGGCTCGTTTTGGGTGTCTGTCTCATCACGGTGCTCCCGCTGCAGCGTGGACCTCGTTTCAGGATCGGCGCTTGGCTCTCGCTGTTCTGAATGTCGCTCTCGCCGAAGCTCGGGCCACATTTCTGGATCCGAGTCCTTCCTCATCGTTGTCTCCCCGTTCCTCTCCCCTCCTCCGCCTTCCTTGGGTCCTCCTACTCTTCCCGCTCCTGCTCCTCCTGTTGCTGCTGTTCCTCTTCGTCCTCCTCCTTCATCCTGCTCCTCTTTCATCCTGCTTATGATCGTCCGCCACCTCCGCTTCCAAAGTACGCAGCTCTCCTTTTATGAATGCTCATAACACGATTGTGTCCTTTTGGAGGATTCAGGTCCACTATGACACACGTCGGCGGATAGAGAAAACATGAACGCAATGGGAAAGGATGGGTTGGAGTGGTTAAGTGTCAGACATGGCGCGAGCGCACCTAGTTTGCCTCCCTTCCTCTCCTCTTTCCACTCGCCTCTCCTCCCTCCCTTCCACATCTCTCCTTCCTCTGTGCCCTCTCCTTTTCATTTCCCCTCCTCTTCCTTCTCATCTTTCTTCTGGCTCCTCTTCCTGAGGCCCGCCGCAGGTTGCTGCTGGCGAGTTGCCCCGCCGCAGGCTGCCGCTGGTGCGCAGCCTGGAGGGCCAGCCCTGGCCCACAGAGTGCGGGGCGCCCGTGCCATCGGTGGCCCTTGCGCCCGCAGCCGCCGCCGGGCGCGAGCTGCTCGAAAAGAGCTGGCGCACTTCCTCTTCCCCACTGGGCTCGGAGCGGGGCGAGGCGGGATATTGCGAGGGGATGCGGGAACTCCAGCGAGAGTTCTGAGAGGGCCTGCGGGCCTCTGGGGCGCCGGGACCTCCGCATGGTTTGGAGTTCCCCCCCGCTCTCCTCGCCGTTGCTGTCCTTGTCTCTCCCTCCTCGTCTTCCTCGCTGCAGTCGTTCCCCTCCTCTCCTCACCGTTCCCCTCCTCGTCTCTGCCTCTTTGCCTCCCTCGCTGCAGTCATCTTCGACCTCCTCTCTTCTCCTCTTACTCCTCTTGCTCCTTCGGGGTGCGGGCAGCAACCGGTGCCCCTCACTCTCACCACCCCGGAAGAGCTCAGCTGACGACCGACCGACATCTTTTTTCTCGCCCTCCTGCGCCTGCGTGTTATCCCCCGCCTCGTTCTTCTCTTCACTTCCTCGTGGTCGTGGTTGTGGTCGTGGTTGTGGTCGTGGTCGTGGTCGTGGTCGTGGTCGTTGTCGTTGTCGTGGTCGTGGTCGTCGTCGTCGTCGTCGTCGTCGTGGTCGTCGTCGTCGTCGTCGTCGTGGCGGTCACCCTCATCCTTCTCAGCTCACCTCGTCCTCGTCCTCCTCCCTCCTCTTCCTCCCCCTCCTCGTCCTTCTCATGATCAGAAGCGTCGGCATCGGCATCAGCACACACAAACACCAGCACCAGCACCAGCACCAGCACCAGCACCAGCACCAGCACCAGCACCAACACCAGCACCAGCACCAGCACCAGCACGAGCACCAGCGCCAGTACCAGCACCAGCACCAGCACGAGCATCTTCATTATCAGCATCAGCGTCAAGCCTAGCTTCAGCATCAGCACCAGCATCTTTATCTGTAGCAATTGCGGCTCAAGAGCACTCGAAATCTTTCGGAGACGCTCGGAGCATTTTTCACTACTCAACCACGAAACTTTGGCCGTCAAACACTGGCCATTCACTGCCCATCCTTTTCACATCCGAGTCACATCGATGGCCACGCCAACTACTCACTTCACTGCTCGCTCCAAGAGCTCGAGCTCCTCCTCTGCCTGGAGGAGTCTGGCACGTGTGGCGGTCGCTATGCTCGCACTGGCGGCCATCGAATGCCGCCTGATCGAGGGCGCCGTCGATGGGGGCGAAGGATCTCGGCCGCCAGAACTTATCCACATCCACTGCTCGGAGTCGCGTCCCAGGAGCTCGAGGGCCTTTCGAGGAGTGGTGGGTGCGGACATCTGCCCGCCCCTGAGGGTGGGAAAGTGCACGTAGCCACCACTCCCAGGGATCCAGGGCAGGACTCCAGCAGCCGTGGATGTGAATGTGTCCTCTCGAATCAGAGCAGTGAACATGAGCCTTCGGAGATCCGCGTGGGCCTCGGAAAGCTTACGATCGGGATCTCTTTTGCTTAGCGTGTCGCGCCGTTTGTTCTGGCCCACCACGCATCGGCGCGACGCGCTAAGTATCTCCCGGTCCCCAAGCGTCAGCGTCTCGAGCCTTTCCCGGCCTCCCGCCTTGCGGAGCGGAGCGACACACCATCCGTTGGCAGGGTGTACCGTGTCGCTGGGGCCGCCGCCGCGACACGCTGAGCAAAAGCTCCCGACCGTACGCTCATGCAGTTTCCTGTTCCTCTGCTCCTGGCGGTGCAGGAGCAGACCCCTGCTTTCACCACCAAGATCAGGGAGGACACGCGGGAGGTGGAGCTGCGGGCGCCCGAGGCCGCCCCGACCGCGGGCAGTGGGCCAGCGGGGAGCGAGAGGGGCTCACGGACGGCATGCCGTAGGGCTGCCGCAGGGCTGTGCTTGTTCGGTTGCCCCCACACGGGGGGGGGGGTGCGCCAGACAACAAGGCGGGGGATTTCTCAGGAGGCAGGGCCTGGCGACCCCCAGGGAGGCGTCCCAGAGACCCGGAGGGCCTCTCAGAGGCCGCCTGCCTCCTTGGAAGCCCCCTTGCCTTCTCAGAAGGCCGCCTGCTTCGCGGCCACCCCCCTTGTGGGCGCCACCAATGCTTGTTGGCTCCAGTGGGCTCTGCAGAACCTCCGGGTACCTCGTACCTCCTCCTCCTCCTCCTCCTCCTCCTTCCTCGTCCTCCTCCGTAGCCATTTTGGCTCAATATGTTTGCACCTGAGGGCGTCCGCGCCCTCGTGTCAAAACGGGATTGCTTTGTTTCCCGAACAAGGCAAGGCAGTTCTGCCTGGCGCCGCCCGCCCCGCCGCGCGTTTCTCTGGGGCCTGTGGCCGGCCTCGCTGCACCAGGGTGCAGACGAGGAACCATGGCGCATGGCAGCTGCGGGGAGATCACGCCAGACTGGTACTGTAACTTCTGCAAGTGCGAGCGCGGGCCCAAGGTCGGGATGCCCAACGTTACCTTCGGGACTAAGAAGCAATGCCACTTCTGTGGGTGCGACAAGTCGGTTGCTTTCCTCGGCCGTGCGCGTGGGGAAGAAGGAGTCTCACGCCGTCGCCAACCGAGTGGCTCAGCGGCCGCAGGCGGTCTGGGCGACGCGGCCGTGCATAAAATCGCGATGCAGAAGGAGATGGCGAAATTGCGGGAAGAGATCAATAGTCTACGGGCTGCGAACAAGACCAAGGGGCACCAGCCTGAGGCGGCGAAGGCCACTGGGGAGGGTGCCGCGGAGGATGCAGACGAAGCATAACGGAAAGCCTTCGCACAACTGAACGAATAATTGCGTAGCCTCCGTGCAATCACGTCGCCGTCGCATGTGGTCAAGGACGCGGCCGACAAGCTGGATGAGCAGAAGCGCGAGCTGGTGGAGGAGGTCCGCTCGAAGACGCCCGTCCTCACGCAGCTGCTGGCTCTGCAAGAGAAGCTCAAGGCGAAGCAGGACGCCATCGCCAAGCAGGAAGCGTCAGAGGCCAAGGCCGAGGAGGCGAACACCCAGGCCCAGAAGGCGCTCGAGGATGAGCGCGAGCGGGTCAAAACGCTGCGGGCTGAGGAGCTCGAGCTCGAGGCGAAGATGCGCGAGCTCAACGCCGCGGCCCCCAATCCGCCAGACGAAAAGGATATCCCCGTGGAGCAGGGCCCCGACCTCGACTTGGTGGGGCTGGAGGGGCTGCTCAAGGAGCTCGGCACCTCGGGCGAGGTCACGGAGCGGCTCCTGGCCCACCCGAAGCTCGCCGAGAAGGTGCTCTCTCAGCCTGCTGCTGCCGAGCGCGCTCGCTCTGCTCCCGAGGGAGGTCCTGGCGAGGCTGGCGCGCAGGCGCCCGACCCCAAGCGACTCAAGTGTGCCGCCGGCAAGGCGCCCATCGAGACGCTGCGGGCCAGCCTCGCCGAGCCTGGAGTGGCGATGCTTGCCAACGAGCGCGCCATCAGGACCATTGCGCGCAAGATGGCGTCGGCCTCTAACCAGTGGGCCTACCGGGCGTACTAAGGCGAGAGGTATCGAGATGATGATGATTTGTTTTCTTGTCAATATGACGGTAGTTGCAGCAGCGGTAAGCACCGTGAGCAGTTTGGGTGCTGCCAAAGGTGTGCTGACCACGGTCAACGTTTCATGTGGGCGAGGGCTGACGGAGCACCTCGCCGAAGCTCCTGAAGGCGACCCGTTCGCTGTGCACGAGCACAGGGCCCTCGGCGACGAGCCGAGCTCACTGCAGGGCCAGGCGCGCGACCTCGGCTACTGTGGACTGTGTGCCCCAGGCCAGGCCACCGGCGCTAAAGCGCTCGATGTGTCGGGCGGAGTGGCGCTCCTCGCGCGCGGCGCGATCTCGGTCACCGCGCCGCCCGTCGTGCCCTCTCCCATCCTGGAGGAGGCGAGGCTGTTGGCAGGCCTCGTGCACTGGGGCGTGAAGGGTGGCGGGATCGTCGTCGTGGTGCGCTTGCGGCGCGCCGTCCGCATGGGGGGCGACAGCGGCGACGCGGTCCACGAGCTGATGACCTACCTTCGCGCGCCCGACGCTTGCGGGCTGGCCTGGGTGGCCATGGGTGACTGGAATATGGAGATGGAGGAGCTCAGGGGGACGTGGCTCGAAGAGGTGCGCGGCGCCCCCATCGCGCCGCCCGGGCCGACCTGCTGGCAAGCGGCCGAAGGCTCCTTCCTGGATGATGTCATCGCGGCGCCGAACCTGGGCCCCGGGCTCAGCGAGGCGCGCGCCAAGACCGATGCGGCGCTGCGCCCGCGCTGCCCCGTCCAGGTGGACATCTCCACGGTGGGCCGCGAGGCCTGCGTGCGGGTTGCTGCCGAGCCGCGCGGGCTCGCCGCGGCTGCGCCGGTGGGGGCGGCGCCCTTTCCCGCGAGCGCATGTCGGAGAAGGCGCTCCAGCTGGCCCTCAGCGCGTTCAACGCCGGCGGGTTGGAGCAGGCGCGGGGCGCAGCTGTCGGCGCGGCAGAGGCCGAACTACGTGGCCGCTGGAACCTGGCGTGCGCGGCGAGGGAGCAGCGCGCAGGTAGAGGGCGCAAGCCTGCCATCGAGCTGGCCCTGCCCAAGTGGCAGCCGCCTCGCAAGAGGAAGCTCCGCGACCCGAAGGCGAGCGCCCGCGTGGCGGCGGCGCGCTGGGCGAAGCAGGTGGGCGCCATCCGCGGCCGTCTCAAGAGGGTGCTGGCGAGCGACGCGGCCCTGGACGGCAGGGTGGAGGAAAGCGCCGAGATGGCGGTCGAGTTGCTCATGGAGACTCACCGCTACTACGCCAACGTGGCGAGGTCGGGCCGCGTCAGGAGGCAGCTCCCCGAGGGCGCGGCCCGCGACCAGTGGGGCGCCCAGGTCCAGCGGATCTCCGACGAAGCCCAGCGGCTCGCCAAGTGCTACAACAAGGAGCGCGAGAACGGGTGCCGCAACTGGGCCAGGGGCCTGGGGGGCGGTGCTCGAGCGGCGCGCGGCTTCGCCGAGCTGGCGCCTGCAGCCGGGGTGCGGAGGGCCACCGCTTGGGGCAGCCCGCGCCAGACGGCCGACCGCGAGCTCCAGGAGTGGACCGACGTCTGGACGTGCCGCGAGGAGCCTGCGCTGGAGAAGCCACCTGGCTTCGACAGCTGGGTCGAGCTGCCGAGGATGAGCGTCGACCACCTCCGCAGGGCCGCGCTCCGCTTCAAGGAGAGAACGGCCGTGGGCCGGACGGGCAACGCCCCGAGGGCCCTGCGGCAGCTCGGCGACGTCGGGCCGTTCGTGCTGTCGGCGCTCTTCAGCCAGTGCGAGAAGCTAGGGGGGTGGCCGACGGGCAGATTGCGCACGATTTTGGTTCGACTCCCCAAAGTGAGCGGGGGTTGCATATTGATTGCCCCAGTCAACTTTTTCCTTCGGCTATGGGCTAAAACAAGGTCTACGGTTTCGAGAGGTCGGCTGGCAAAAGCAGACGTGCCCAACCTCTGGGGCGCAGGCGGCGCCGGCAGGACTTCGTCGGCGGCGGCCTTCCACCGTGGCCTGGCGTCGGAGATTGCGAACCTCAACGGGGGCCACGGCGTCGCCGTGCTCCTCGATGCCTGGAAGGCGTTTGACAGCCTGATAGAGAGGCATGTGATGCAGGAGGCCAAGTGGATGGGCTACCCGCTGCGCCTCATGTGGGCGATCCTCAGGTACCACCACCTGCCGAGGCGCTTGACGGCGTGCAACTCGCTCTCGCAGAGCTACGCCGCGCGCTGGGGCATCCTTGCTGGGTGCTCCCACTCGATGGCGGTGTCGGTGGTGGCCACGGCGAGGGCGCTCAGGTGGCTCGCTCGGTTCGACGTCAGCCCGAGGGCGCTGGCTGATGACGCCTCCGTGCTGGGTCGACCTGGGCCTGCGGGCGGCGCGGGTGCTCTGGGAGGCCGTCAATCGCTGCAGGCGCGACGTCGCGGACGTGGGCCCGGCGCAGCAGGCATTCAAGTCTGGCTACGTGGCGTCGTCAAGACAGGGGAAGGCGGCGGCCGAGCCCTTCGCCAGGCGGGTCAAGATTGGGGACTGCTAGCGCATGTGGAACTTGGGCCACGACCTCAACGGGTCCAAGGCGAGGAGGGCGGTCGCCATGGCCAGGCTCAAGAAGCTTCGCCCACGCACGCGACGTGCAACGAGGCTGAGGCGAGCCGCGGGCGAGAGAGTGGCGTGCCCATGGCAGACGGGCCTCCTGCAAGCCGCGGCCCATGGCGCTGCCGTGGGCGGGGTTGCCCCGCCCGAGCTGGCGGCGATGCGTTCGGAGGCTGCGCTGCTGGCCGGAGCCGAGGGGTGAGGAGGCAGCATCGCGCTCTACCTCGCCAGCCAGAAGAGCCCACGCTACGACACGGTCTTCGCGGCGACGGTCGAGCCAACGTGCATTATGCGAGGGTGATCTGGCAATGGGAGATTGGCTCGGGCGAGCTGGGCCGTGCCTGGCGAGTGCTGCTGGGCAAGGTTGAAGCTGGAGAGGACAAGCTCGCGCGGGCGTCGGCCAGGGGGCCGCTCAAAATGGTCATCCTCTCGCTCGAGCGGATCGGCTGGGCCATGTGGTCGTCGCTGCTGATCAAGCCAGATGAGGGGCCAGTGATCTCGCCCTGTCCACGCCACCATGGTTTTTTCGGGATCTCCTCCGCCGGGGGAACCAGCGCTGGCAGACGGCCCAGATTGCCGAGCGCCACTCTGCTGCGTCGACGAGCCGCCCACGATGGCCGAGGGGCCTGCGCGCCTGCGCGGGGGGGGGGGGGGGGGGGGGCGGCGACTGCGGCGGGGGCGGGGCGGGCGGGCGCGCTTCGCAGCCTGTGGTCGGACTCTTTGTGGCCCAAGGCTAAGCTGTCCAAGCGCGGTAGGGTGGCGATCAGAAGTGTAGGGCCTGCCCGCGCGAGGCCGAGACACCTGGCCATGCGTTCATTGAGTGTCCAGCGTTGACCCAGCGGTTGCTTGGCGATGAGGAGAACCTGCGGTCTGGGCCCGATGTTGGCCGCGGTTCGCGGCGCCATGTTGGAGCAAGGGCCGAATGGAGAGGGCCGTTAGGAGATGGACTCGCTTCCGATTGCGATCGGGATCCCTCGGTGGCCCAACGTCGATGCGCCGCAGCCGCCGAGCGATCCACCTTGCTTTTTCCTGGGCGACTGGGATTTGCCCGAGGCGCACTGTAGTGATTGTGTGTTTACCGACGGCTCAGGATATCACAGCGATGTCCCAGAGCTGCGTCGGCGCGGCTGGTCAGCCG